CGGAGACTTGCCACGGTCTCCAACCCTCCTCCTTTCTCATCCGGGCTTGGTACCGGCCATGGCGGAGTTGATGCCCGCTTGTCTTTCGTCTAAACCAGTGGTTCTCAAGTTTTTCTGCTCAATTCCCCCTTTCACCAGAGTTCAGGCTATGATCCCCTTTCCCAAGATAGTCTAACTCAAAAGATGCATTTCAAATAATATTGAAAATATTTTATTTTGTCTGTATTAGCACATATACATTTATTTCGATATTTTTATGGTAGAGTATTGCAAACTTAATAGCAGTATCAGTGCTGGCAGATTTTAAAACTTGAATAAATTTAGGGTTTTGGTATTCAGAACTAATTATTTTACTGACTAAAGTTACTGAAGCATACTTCAATAAACAAAAAGTTCAATAAAATTCTAGAGAAATACGATTTGTTTTATCGATGAAGATTACAATCAATGAGAAACCTGTGACTGTTTTTTCTTTGGCAGTTCTTGAATACGCGTAGGAGTGCTTGAAAGGACATAACACAAGTGAAGTTTATTTATTTGCTTCGTTTTTATTTGCAACAGTTGAAAAGCCTATCTCAGAGATATGTCTACACAAATGGAATATGAATAGCGCTTCCTGCCACTTTTGGGTTGGAATCACACATCAAAGGCGAAAATTTTATGATTGAAATCTCATCAAAAATATCTCCCGAATTAGTGTCAGCTCCAGTAACTCATCTTGACAATTATCAGAAATTTTTCAACCGACAATTTAAACGGATTGCGCACTAATTCCAACTGCTCGTCACTGAGTTCAGGAAAAGAGTGGCTGAATTCATTTTCCATTGCTGAAAAATTTCAGTTTTTGTAAATTTTGAAAGCATTTGTTCTTTACCGTTAGCAACATGAATTGATAACAGTTTCTCATTCATTGAAACACTTTTTCATATTGAACTTTCTCTTCCAGTTTTTCAGCTTGCTCATGAAAGCTTTTAAAGGATCCATGAATTTTATGATGTTCGTATCCTTTCCTTGCATCTGAAGATTCAATTTATTAGGCCGCTCAAAAATGCCAGCTAAGTAGGCGAGGCGCATCATCCATTCCTCATCATGCAGCCAGAAAATATCCATCATACGCTGAACTTAAAAAAAATAATTTAAGTTCATCTCTATGCTTAAATACTCGCTCAATTACATTTCCTCTTGAAAGCCATCTAACATTTGTGGAAAAGAAGCGATTGATGAACTGCCTGAGAAGTCGTGAGTTGAGAGCTCCCCCTTTCACAAAATTTACAATTTGAATTGCTCGATCCAAAACCTTCTGTAATGGAGCTGAAATTGTTTTTGAGGCTAATGCCTGACGATGGATCATACAATGAATGCATTTTATTTTCGGAGCTCGTTTTTTTAACACAAACTTTAAATGCGAATTTTGTTCCTGGCATAAGTGGTGCTCCATCTGCACAGCACCCACAGACATTGTCCTACAAAAGATTTTCTGATTCAAAGAAAGATGAAACCTATTTCAAAATATCTGAGGCCTTGGTAGCTGTTTCAAGAGGAGAACAAAAGGAAACTTTTCTTTGAATGAACCCAAGTGAGCATATCTCACAAACACCAGCAACCGAGAACACGATGCAACATCAATCGATTCATCAAATTGAATTGAGAATAAACCAAATCCCGCAGGCTTGATCTCCTGTACTATCTGATCTTTAATGTCACTGGTCCTTCATTGAACAGTACTGTTTGATAGTGAAACTGCTGCAAATTTCTAATCCATTTTCCATCACAATTTTGAGAGCACAAGGTTTGATCAAGGTTTCTTCAATTGTATATGTTTTTTTCTACTTTGCTATCTCCAGCGATACAACAAGAAGCTTTAATAAGCATTTGTATTTTTTTTGCCACACTCCCGTTGAATCCAATTTCATTTTTATCCTTGTCCTTGTGTTGACGATGAACGTCCTGCAAATGCTGCTTTAACTTTGTTGGTTTCATGGAATTATTTGACCAAACTTTGGTGCAAATAACACTGCGGTCTTTCTTCTCCAGTGATGATGAAGAATATAAGTCCATGTTGAATATATGAAGCATCGTCTTCCTCTTTGATGTGCATGATAGGCTGCAAATTCTGTGAATAAAAAACGATAGTAAATCAAAGAAAGCGATATAAATGGAATGTTTTAGAAATAACGAGCTGATATTAAAAACTAATTTTAAAATAATTCATTTTATAAAAGCGAACGTTTTAATAAATTTGAGTTGCCTTTGTGTTGCATGGTTTTTTTCTGACATATGTGACACTAGCAGATGTTCCCGGCATTTCTTGGGTGTTTGGTATAATATAAATTATAAATTTGGGCTATTCAGAAATAAACGCACAAAATGAACCATGTGCACAAACCAGCGAAATCGAACAACTTAAGACAGCAGATAAATTTGTTGAGAACTCTAAAAGAATACCGCATTAGCCTGAATATGGTGCGATGTTTTTCCATAATTTGTACTTTTGAAAGTCTCATTCGCACTATATCGAGTACTGGTAACTTTAATAACATTAGTGTGCATCGCGCATCTGCATACGCCTTTCAGCACATCTATCTATTATTGCTACATTGTAAAGTAATTGGGCGTTCATGTCATGACGTTACATTGCACAAATATTATGAAAAAAATGTCTTGGGAAAATAAAATATAGATCAAGGCGAAATTGCAGCAAATTCACATACGTGACATC